AGGAGGCAAAAGAACGTCAACTGTCAAGACGAGGAGATGGGCGGTCTCAGATAGGAAAAGGGGGCATGGCTTTGCTTGCTGACCCCCACTCCCAGGACCCTTCCCTATGCCTTCCATGCTTTTGAATCCACGCAGGGCCCTTCCTTCCACAAGGTGCAGGCGCTGGCTCACTTTCTCAGCCTTCCCCTTCCTATAGTCCTTTTGCAATTCAGTCCCAATTCACACTTTCTATGGGATTGAACCACTTCACACTGGGCCCCGACTTCTGCATTTCACTGGCATTCCTCCTGCCACTTTGCAACAGAGCAAAAGGAACACACACACACACACACACACAACATAAGGGTGAACCTTTGTGTAGTCACATTTGCCATCTTGATTTTTTTAATCGCCCCACCCCCGTTGCTCTGATGACCCTGAAAGGATGTCCCTGGACTGCCTTGGCTGGTCTCAGAAGCTAAGCAGGGTTGGGCTAATCCCAACTTGAAAGAGAAACCCAAACTGGGCGTGGTCACCAAGGGAGGAGGAGGGCATCTTGTCTTCTCAGAGGGGAAACCCCCTTTCAATAAAGCATGTGGCTAAGTAAGTGAAGGACTGCAGCCTTAGTGCCCATTTATTAAATCTCCAGTCTGCATTCTACAGCGAGGGAAGTCCCATGGGCCTCTGCCTAGGGAAACAGCAGATGGTTGAAGGATTAAGCAGGACCCCCACCCTCCCCCACCTGCTCTCAACTGCCCACTCCCATAGAAGCGGAGCTTTTAAAACAAGATCAAACCCACTCCTGGGCAGGTATGAATCTGGGGCCTGGACCTGGCCTGATGGGAAATGGCCATGGAGTTCTTCACCCTCTGGAGCCTTCTGGGCCGGGCAATCCCTTGGAAGCACAATGCCGGAATTAGGAAAACAGGATAGACTGTAGCAGGATTTGCTCAGTCCAGCTCTTGCAAAATTAGCTCTTTTCTGACCTGGAAACTCATCTAATTGCAAGTTAGGCTGCGTTAAAAAAAAAAGGCTAAGAAATATGGTTATTTTGCCCTGCTTGGATCCCTGCAATGGACCATCTCTATGATATTCATGGGAATATCCCAGCCTGGCCCTGCTTCTAAGCATGAATCTGCCTCTAGGCTAAAAAAAAGAGGAAGGAAATTCTTGACGTAAATATTAAAATATAATATTTGGGAAAATATAACCCTCTTACACATTACTTCCATCAGTTCAAAATAAGCATCTCTACCACCATAAATGATCTGTATACCACCCTGACCTCTATCTGTAAAAGAGACATGATCCTTTCAGTTCCCACTGAGGAAGTTTTTTTTGGAAAGGAAGATAAATGGAGGCCAACTCCTGAAGTCAATCAGCTTCTAAAACTCTTTCTGAATATTCAGCATTTGAACAAAGCTCTGGCTTCTCATCTGCCCCATTCACAGATTCCATCTCTCCACCCCCACCCCCACCCGTGACCATGAGGGTCCAGGGCCCTGAGTGCCCCCTAAAGTTGCCCTGGCTAAACACCACTCAGCTTAATCAGGCTTAATACCAGGTAAATGCAAATATATCTGCAACTCTGCAGCATCATTTCATCTATATTTACATTTAAAAAACACCAGCTTTGTTCCATAGCATCAATTTTGGGAAAGTTTGTCTAAAAGTACAGTCTGAATCCCTCTCTCCATTCTTTCTTTATGACAACATTGGATAACAACAATCCTACAAAACCACACTGGTCTGCACACTGCATTTCCTGCCATAGTACAATGTGCCCCTTAAAGGCTGATGCAATCTGTACACTGCCACAGGGCCCACAAATCACAGGATGGATATAATGCTGGGACTTACCTGTGTGTATAAAATTATATTGGAAAAAAGCACACACTGTTCTACTTTTCTTTTAATTTATTTACCCAGAAAAAGAGAGAGAGAGAGAGAGAGAGAGAGAGAGACTTGAGCTAGAAGCAGCATGAGCTCCTAGCTCTGCTGGCATCCATCATTCAGCCGCTCTCTAAATCCCAGACTTCTCTCTCGTTATGGGCAGTAACCAAGTCTATTGATGGTCAGAGGGAGCCAGCACAGCTAAGGAGAGTTACAGACCTGGGACTCGATGCTTGGACTCCGATCCCCAGAGTGCACCAAAGCGAGGCCAGAGAGAGAAATTCCTGGATGAAGTTCCCTACTCGCATCCTTGAAGTCAATTTGAATCACATCATTTGAATCTGGCTGACTTGGTCCAGATGTAGCTGTCCTGCACCCGAGGCACCGGGATCAGGCTGACCTCGATTGATTCAGCCATGTCCAGTTTGATCTAACGCTTTGGCTCCATTTGCCATTTCAAGTCAGGTGTTCAAATTGAAAGCAGATCTCTGAATCAGAATACTTATGCCTTGTGGGTGCATTGTCTAAACACAAGCAAAAAACCCCCTAATTTTGCAAAAAGGGTGCGTAACAGGGAATCAAATCCACAAGTGACTTTAATGCAAACAACTACCTAGCTGATCGGATTTTAGCAATGCCTTTAATCTAACCTTTAACTAACACACTGATGTTTATCAATGGTAAAACTGTTGATGTCACATCTTGATACAGGAAGCATCGAGACCTAAAGCGAGCTCTTCCCAAGAGCAAACGCGGCTCTTGTCTGTATCTATCATATGTGCAAAGGATTATAAAAACAAATACGGCAAGCCAGGAAATCCAGAGCTCCGGAGCTGTCCACAAAGTAGGATAAAAAGAAGTTAAAATGGCAACCCGACAACGCAGCGCGCATGAAATAGCAGCCCTCGCTCCGGTCATTCTGTCGCGGCCTAAAGAGGCCCTGCAAACCACTATCTTTACATCCAAGATGCACCTCCACCTCGCATCTTCAGGCACAGAAAAGTGGCTAAGAGAGTTGCATCCTGTTGACACAAAATAAGGGAAGGGGCATCCCCAGGGCAGACCCCTGCTGCACTTGCCAGGCTGAAAACGGGAAGCAGCCGGTGGGAGATGCAGGGAGCCGGAGGGGCTTTGACGGAGGGCAGCTTTCAGCCCCCTCACCCAGCAGGACAGGCACTTCCAGCTCCATTAAAGTCAATCAAGAATGTTGCTAAGCTGGCATCAATAGGGAGAGAGGGAAAAAAAAAACCCAAGACTATGATTTTGATTGGTCCTTCACCAAAAAATGGTCTTTCTGCTACTTTTGGAACTAGAAGGTCAATTTATTCCATCGACTCTCCTGATAAAAACGAGCTGGAAGCTCCCTCCGGCCCCACTCAAGAAGGCTTCACCCCCGTCTGGGCATTTCCCTGGAGGCTCCGTCAGGCCCTTCCTCTCAGCCTGTCCAGTTGGGGCTGGGTGGGGGCCACAGTCCCTGCTCGACATTGCTGGAGCAGAAAAGCTCTACCTTTTGCAAACTATTCTTCGGCCATAAAGGACATTTTCCTTCTTTCAACAAATGGGTGACATTTTCTTGAAACATCAAAATGGGAGGAAACATTTTCCTACTAAATATCATCATTTTTTTTTCTCTCTCCCAGTATATTTTCTTTCAAATTCTCTCAATTTTGTTTTCCTTTTCTTACGCTGCTGCTCCATAGTTCTCTCTTTCTATTTTGTAACTTTTTTTTTTATTGCAAAAGTTTTACAATTACATTTTCACCCCTTTCCCCCCCTCCACCCCCCCAAACTTCCCCATCTCCCCAACCCTCCCTAACCCTCCCCTCCCCCCAGACTTCATAACTTTCTTTTGTTTTTTCCCTCTACTATCCACAGGGGACAAAACAAGAAAAGATTGGGGGTTGGTGGGGCCTCCCCCAACTGTCTGACACTAGCCATAAAAACCACCTGAAGCTACTCAAAAAGTATCCAGAAGTTATGGGAGACCGAGGACTTTGGGACAGATCTATTGTACAAGCCTGCTGGGGAAAAGGCAAAGGTTCGGGTGAATTCTAAGATGGAAATAAAGCTCCTGGGGGAAATCCCTCAGAGCCCTTGTCAATGTTAAGTTGTGGGAACCTCAATTCCCAGAATTCCCCAGCTGGCATAGGCATATTCCAGAAGTTGAAGTCCCCACATCTGAAAGTTAGCAGGGTTGGGAAACGCTGCTTTAGAGGAATGACAAAAAGGTGATTTTTCAAACAATTTGAAGAGAAGCAAGGAAGAGGCAGGGGAAAGACACCCACCAGAAACATGGCAAGGAGGGAAAAATCTAATGTTTTACCGAATCAAAGTTCCTCTTGATGCCATGGGTCCTGTGCTTTGCTAGCCCAGCCCTTTTGCATGTTCAGCTTTGCCCAAAGAGAGGGCAGCAGGGCAGAGGGTGATTAGCTCTGCCAGAGAACTTTCATCACGAAAATACGTTTTTGATATGTGGTAAGTTTGCCTTTGGGTAGAATTTGTCCAGAATAGAATAGAGGGAAGAGGAGGAGGAGGAGACCCTACACCCCAAGGCCCTTTCCAACTCTTGTTATTCTGAGGTAGAACATGAATTCACAGGAGTGGCCCAGTCAGCCTTTTCAATTCAGCACTGATATTTGTCCTTTCCCAGCACATTTTACAGCACATAGTCTAAGAATTCTAAGCCCAGTGGGGCAAATGAATTGTCCTCCCAAGACTTTATAGGATTTCTCCTTTTCAGCTCATGGTTTAACCGGTTGCATCTCAAATCAGGCCTCCGTTTCCAAGAACCCATTTCTCTGTAGGCACTTAGCCAAATATAGTAACAGCATGAATGTTGACTCAGAAGGAATAGTTCCATCGATTTTAATTGTATCTCCTCCCAAGTAAGATTGCATCTTAAAAAATTAATAAAATTTAATTTCATTTAGAGTTGGGTCCCAAACATACAATAATAAAATTGAACATTTAACCATGAAGTCAGAACGTGATGTTCAAAAACACCAGCTCTGCCAAGGAAGCCCAGCCAACTCCGTGGCACTCAACGAGCGAACTCCGGCTCAGTCCAAGGGGCGGCTGCTTCTTATCGCCAGAGGAGACTTTGGCCTGGTGCGCATAAAATCTCTTACCTTTGAGGGATGCTACTTGGGACAAGGCTTGGGCATAGGTCGCTGTATTGAGGAGGGTCCCCGGCAGACAGGAAGGGAAGAAGGATCCAGAAGGACCAACAGCTCTGCTGAGGCTGTAGTGGGGGAGGGGAGAGGGAAGATGACAAGCAAGCAGTTCAAGAATGGATCAATCCACTGTGGTCTCAGCATTATCCGTCCGCCTTCAGGAACATCAAGATGTTGACCATCACATTACTTTGAACACCTGTTCTAAAGCAGCCACCTGCTAGTGTGTGTTGGAATTTCATTCAAGGTGTCGGTGTTGACCTTTAAATGCTAAATGGCCCAGGACCAGAGCGCCTCCATTAGGTCTCCCCTCGGGCTTTACAGCCAACCATTAAAGTTCTTCTCCAGGTCCCATTACTTCAGACAGGCAGGTCCTCTTCTTCAAGAGCAGGACTTTCAGGCAAGCCTCTTTCAAAGCCAAATGGTAACTTACCGATTCCATTAAGCTTTTGGAAGATGATCGGCTAATTCCTCTTCTTTGGGTAGGCTGTTGCTACTAATCTAGTGCTTAATTTTTCAGCCTATTTATATTTTTGCAGGGGGATCTACTAAGAGGCTCTCTCTTTCTCCAGAGTGCGGGACATGGAGTAATGGATTGAATTTACAGGATGGCAGTTTCCCATCTTGAAATGTCCAGAAGAGCAGTTTAATTGTAGCACAGGAGAGCTAGAGTAGGGCTCTCCAAACTTGGCAACTTTAAAACTTGTGGACTTCAACTCCCAGAATTCCCCAGTCAGCACGGGTGCTTATTGTTCTGTGTCAACTGTGAAAGATGCAATTGTCCCTTTCGGTTATTAGCCGTAAAAACAGTGGTGGGATTCAGCCAGTTCGCACCACTTCGGGAGAACCGGTTGTTAACTTTCTGAGCAATTTGGCAAAATGGTTGTTGGAAGAAATCATTAGGACAGAGAACAGGTTGTTAAATTACTTGAATCCCACCACTGAGTAAAAACCACCGTTTTATCTTAGAACAACTACATGAGGCCCTGTGGCAGCTGCCTCTCTTGGCATCCATGTACTTTATACGCATTTGGCACCTTCCCATGGGGCATAAAGTATCCACCCAATTTGTCCCCTTGGTGAGCCAGGTAGAAAGCCCTCCAGATGCGGCAAAGGCACCAAATGCTCCAAGACAGAGAGAAAGGTGGGCATGGGCACTGCGCAAAAGTTGAGACGGAAGTTGTGAGAAGCACAGATGAGGAGGGGCAGAAGCATCTGACTTAAGAAGTGCGGTTGGCAAAGAAAGTAAGGAAACAGTTCAACTTTAAAAGACATTATAGAAGAAGAAGGACTGGTCCTGCCCCCCACTTTCCACCCATGAAGGAACATGGGAAGGATGAGAAAGTACGTCGAGCCTCATCAATTTCTTCCCTCTGTGCAACCACAAAGGACTTGTGCAACACAATTGCAAGCCGTCTTATAGGAAAGCCAGGAGAGAACCCATCCCTGGTGCCTGGAGAAAGGGCTCAGAAACCCCCTCCTGAGCACAACTCCCAAATCCCCCACCCCACTTCTCCTTCCATTTCTGTCTAGACCTCTCTTTGCATTAATGCTGCCCTAGGCATCACTGCATGCCCTGATTCACTCTCTTGCTCCATAGAAACTCTTTTCAATTTCTTCTATGTTTCCAGGACCAAAAAGCTAAGCAGACAATAGAGTTCTATCTTCATTAATGTTGCCTACTTAGCCTGACCTTGTGTTGGAGTCATCTGAACATCTTCTTCTCTGTTATAGGACGCTCCTCCTTTTAAATCTACATGACATCAATTCATTCCCATTCGTTGGCGCCTCCGTTAGATTTGATTTGATGTTTAATTTGACTGAGGAAGACTAGAAGCACCTTGGACAGCTCCCCACCTTTCATGCTCTGCCTAGTAGCCTGGAGGTAACCCAACACCTAGAGGAGCAACGAGAAGCCAAAGCTTACCTCTGCTGAATCTCCAGGCTCTCCTTCTTATTCCTAGGCTGGTCAGCAGGGGAGGGGGAGCTTAAATTTCTTCCAGGGGGTGTCACTTCTGTCACGGCCTCCTTAGAACTTTCTTGATCAGAAGATCCTCTCTCTGTTTTCCTCCATTTAGCTCTTCTGTTCTGGAACCAGACCTGAATCAGGTTGGAGAGAAGCACCAAGCATCCTTGTGTGAACATTTTTTAAAAAATCATACAGGTGGACTTGTCTTCTTTGGACAATCTTCTAAGAAGGCTGAGGTTCTAGGAAAAGGTCACGTTCATGTGCCCTAATCATCTTCAAAAAATAGGAGAAAAACAAACAACATATATGCATATACCTGTGTGTATGTACGTACATGTATCTATGCAATTATAAGGCCACAACTGCAAAATTATTTAAAATGTCTGCAAAAAGCAGGCTGAAATGTAGTTTGAATCTCTTGCTACTAAAAGAACCAGTCCTGCAAATCGGAGTGCGATTATTTTAAACGGAGTTTGGCTTAACTTGGTTGTGCTTTTATTGCTTTTATTAGTGGCAATGGGGCTTTCTTAGTTACGGGCTGAGAAAACCCACCATTTAAAAGATGATTACAGTGTGCTGAGTATCATTGTTCTTATTATCACTCCATTTTTATTTAGCCTGCTTTTAATTGCATGTATCAGCAAAGGCTGAATAATGATTTTATCTGCATTCCAAATTTAGGAGTTAAACGCAAAGCCAATTGCAGACACTTCCTTGTGCCTTAATTGAATGAAGGTCACCGCTATAACAACATTTAATTGAGCTATTTTTCATTATCATATTTTAATGACTTTGCAATGACAGTTTGCCGGCTTCTGAAGAAAGGGTCTGATGAAGTCGTTTATTTTCGTATTTAGTTTTTGTTTGACAACATCATCTTCGATTAAGGCAGGGTCTTTCAGCGCATTAATCATATTTGAATGAGCAGAGGGCAAGAGTGTAAACAGAGCTTCTTCTCCGGGTGTCCCAGCATGAAAGCAGACCCCCAACTCCATTGTCTGCCTGCATAAGACCCGACAACAAGGCTAAATGCTATAATTGTCACCACCCCTATCTCGCCCTTGCACCTTTCAGGGAGAAGTTATGATCTTCTGAATGCTCCGTAATTGTCCCATTTATCTCAATTTGCAGCACAGTCTTTAGGCACCAATTGCTAAAATGGTGGGAGGGAAAACTTCAAACCAACGTAGCTCCCATGTACTGGCAAAAGGGAGATTTCAATGTCCAAATAATAATAATAATCATCAGTTTAATTTTCTTGCACATGACCAGTGATTCATGTTCAGATTTAATAATCATGGTTGCATAATCTGATTATGGAAGAAATAATTTGTTTACAATCCCCAATTTACTGCAGTGAATTCCATTATCTCTCCTCAGCCATTGGGTTTTAAGAGATACTAACATGACCCAGGGGAAGGCGAGGCATGCTATTATATTTCCTACAATTAGATCTTTGCATAATCTTAACCCCAAGCACCTACATAAAAAGAAGACAGAAACAGCAGGCAGGAAAAGCCCCATAAATAACATATGTGGGCATAAAAAAAAAAACCCTTGGCTCTTGCTAAATAAGAGGGGTGTGTGTGTGTGTGGGTGTTTGTGCGTGCGCGCCCACGCATGCAGATGTGGAGCTATTCAGCACCTGGTTCCGTCTTCCGGGGTCTGTTTGCACATGGAGATGTCCTCCCTGAGAGGGACCGCACAGCCAGATGGGTGCCAAGGGGAGGGAGCTCTCTTTTAAACAAGGCTCTACCTCTTCATGGTTAGAAAGGAGAAGGCTAAATTACACCTTTTTTCCTCAAAAAAAGAAAAGAAAAGAAAAAGAAGAAAAGCAGGTTCTCCTGGGGAATTCTTCCCATGCAGAGGAAGGCTCCTTGGCTCCTTGATCTCAGAAGCAGGTGGGTTAAAGGGAAGGCTACCCCTGTCTGAGGCAACCCAAACTCTGGAACTTTGCACTAAGAAACCTGGGGGGTTTTCCTGCCATGTTCTTGCTGTCAGTTGCAATTCCACCACTGGTTTCCCCTAAGGAAAAAACGATATTAGGCACCCAGAGGCAAGGAGGCACCTGTGGCTTCGTCCCTAGGAAGACTCTGCCCCACCCACCTGAATGAATGAAACCATTCCCCCTCCCTCCGCGGCAATTCCTCCCCCCCCCCACCTCCCCCCAATACCTTGCTTGGCACAGAGCCTTGGAAAGACCCCGGGCCCTTCGGTCCACCCAGATTCTCCGAGAGCGGGACAGTCAGAAACCAACGGAAACATCTCCTCCCAGGACTTAAAGTGAAGCAGGCACCCAGCCTCAGCCTATGTCGCCCAGGACATCGCCACGTGTTTCCCGCAAGCGAAGACCCGAAGCGCTCCTCGCGAGAGGGACGCTCCTAAGAAGGTCTTCGGGCTAGTTGGGGATAGAACTGCTTCTGCAGGCCTCCAGGAGAGAAAAAGCGGCAGGTCCATCGCGGCCAAAGGCAGCCCAGCCCAGCCCAACGTAAAAACAGCGCGGAATTCCACTAGTCGACCAGCTGCTCACTGACACATTTGGCTAAACGTGGCTCTATTTTAATGCATTTCATTCGTTCTGACATCCAGAAAGGAGGAAAAGCAAAGAAACTTCTGGCAGAATGAAGAGAGAAGCAGCACCGTTTTCTCCGTATCTTCTGGGCGTAAATATATATATATATATATATATCGCACCTTCCCCAAAAGGGATGGATGGAAGCAGAGGAGCCCCGGTGTGCGAGCAACGGACGGCTCTTCCCGCTAAAGCTTGTTCCGGACCGAGCGAAGCCAGAGAGCCTCGCTTGGCGAGAACCGGATCCGGAGCGGCTCCGGAGGAAGAGGCCTTCTTGGGCCCCGTTTCATTCAGATCAAGCCAAGCGGCTTTTTTCATTCGGTCACCTTCACCGGACAGCAGCTTCGCCAGAGCCGTGGGAGCTTCTGCCCCCCCCCCGTTCCCCCGGGGGCGCCCCGCCCCTCCCGCGCCCCCCCCCCGCCCCTCCAATGCACGGAAATGGACGGGCGCTGATGTAATTTAGTGCCTCAGAGACACGGACAAATTAGTGTAGAACATTATCACTGGTTAATTATGAATGACCGATTAATCAACCTAATCTAATATTCCACATTATGTTGATGTTATTAAAGTGCATCGTGAAAATGACAGATCGGCTTCATTTATTTCCTTTGGCCAAATGTGCCGGTGGGTCCCCTCGCAGGCGAAGGCGAGAGGAAAAGGGGCCGAAGCGGGAGGCGGAAAGGCCGAAGCTCCTTTACCTGCACGCGGGCCTCGGTCAGGTTGATCTTCATGGCCAGCTCTTCCCGGGTGAAGACGTCCGGGTAGTGAGTCTGGGCGAAGACCGCCTCCAGCGCCTCCAGCTGCGGGGAGACAAGCAGCGCCGTCGGGTAGGGCTCCCGGGCGGCCCCCCGACCCACCCCGGCCCCACGGCGGCCCCCGCGCGGAAGGACGCAGCGGGCCGGTACCTGCTGGAGCGTGAAGGTGGTCCGGTTCCGACGCTGCTTCCGACGGAGGAAGCCGTCCTCGAAGTCGGCGGTGGAAGGCCCGCCGAAGGCCGTGGCACCTGAGCCAGGAGAAAGGGCCGGTCAGAGGGCGCCCCGAGGGGCCCCGGACGGGCTCCAAGGCTCCTAACTTAGCGGGACGCCTCTGTCCCAAGCAGGGAAGCCTCGCCTTTCGCGGTTGGCGCCTTTGGGAAGGGGCGGCAGGGCTGAAATCGCCCGGGAAGAAGCCGGAGCTCCACGATGCTTTCCCGGGAGGATTTGCTTCGCGCCACACGGGCTGCGCTCCGGCCCAGAAGGGGCGGCCAATCCTCGGCCAAGGGGAGCCAGCGAAGGGCCAGTGGGAAGGCCCGCGGGGGAAAGGGGAGAGCTGCCACGCCGGACGCCCTGGGGCGGTGGTCGAAGCCCCCCCCCCAGCAGAGCGTGGCGCTTGAGCCGGGTTGGGAGTGGCCAGAGGAAGGCCCCGGGACCGCCCGTCCAAGCCAGCGCTGCTCCCTCCGGTACTCTGTGCGGGAGAAAGCCACCTGGCCCCCGACGAGCCACCCGACAGGCCGAGGGGAACTTCCCGCAGGGGGCCTGGCTCTTGCCCGGGTACCGAGAAAACGCCCCGGTTGATCCTGGCGATGCCCTGCAGGGCCCGTCCGAGCAGCCTCGTTACGCGCCGCCCGCCCTTCGCCCCCTGCCCCGGCTTCCCGCGGGTTTCTCTCCCGTCCCGTCTCCCCTGGGCTCCCGCGAACCGCGGAGGAGCCGGGTGTCTTTCGCCTCTTCCAGGGGACCCGAAGGCCTGTCCGCCCCTTGTGGCGCCGCTCCCCGTCCATGCAGCGGCCGCAGGTGCGGAGGGATTCTCGGGGCGCCTCCGGCCTCCTTTGCAGACGCTCCAGGGTGGCTGCGAAGGAGGCCCGGCCCAAAGGCGTCCCGCGGGGAGGAGGGAAAGCCTCGCCGAGCGGCCGCTTAGACGGCCCAGGGCAGCGCTACACCGGGCATCCGCTGAGCTGGCCCCGCTCGCATTTGCCCAGCCGGCCCGGGCTCCGCTCGCTCCCCCAAGTTTAAGCGGAAGGAGCGACTGACCTGGTCTCCCGCCCCTGCGCCCCCTTCTCTCCGCGGACGCCTCTCTGGAGACGGAGCGCTTAGAGCCGGCCCGCAGCCCCCTTCCCGGAGACCCCCGCCAGCCTTGCCTACCGAAGAGGATTTTCGGAGCAGGCGCTGGAAGGGGATGGCTGGACACCGGTGCCCCCCCCTGCCCTTTCCTTCCTGCCCCCGCCAGGCTTCCGAGCTGGCAGGAGTTTTCACCCGGACCATCTCCCGTCCCTCTGCCGCCAAGAGAAAGCCGGAGGGTTCGCCTTGTTCCCGCGAGAAGCCTCCCTCCCCTCCCCGGGCCCGGCTCCTTTCCAGAAGGGCAGATTTATGTCGCCCCCGGGCCAGCCGCTCCCAACGCCGCCGCCGCCGCCTCCCGATTACAGGCGAAGCGGGAGCATCTGGGCGGCAGGAGGCGGCCGGAGCCTCCGGGCTTGGCCTCTCAGCGCCCGCGCGCGGCTCTCCGGCTGCGGCGGAAGCAGGTGGGCCGCTGGCCGCCAGACACGTGTGAGGCCGGGCCGGTCTCGCTTCCCCAACGGCCAGGCCGCCCTCGGGGCGAGCTTCCCCGCTCGCTTCTCCTCAGCGGCCGCGGCCGAGCCTCCTTTGAGCCCGGGAGCCTGAGCGCAGCCCCGCCTGCTCTCCTCCCGGGCCCGACCGAGGGAGCCAAGCTGCCGCCCAAGAGCGCTTCGCCCGCCCGCCCTCCAGAGAAAGTTGCGCGCCTACTTACGGTCGGGGCTGCGCGCTAACACTCACCCTCCAACGGCGGGGGACAATGGAAGTAGAACATGCCGGGCCCGGGCTGGGCGCTGCCGGCAGCAGCGGTGGCGGCGGCCGAAGTGGCTGGAGCTGCGGAAGAAACGAGGAAGGTTGGCCGACGGGACGGCGCCGGCAGCAGAGGGTGACCCGTTCCCCTGCTCCGCCTCGCCTCTGCCAGGCCCTCGTTCCGGGAAAAGTGGCCCGGCAGCCGAAGCAGGGAGCCTTGGCCTCCCTCGCCCCGACGGCTTCTCCAGCCTGCCCGGGATCGGCTGAACTGAGCAGTCGGAGACGCCGCCCATCCGGCTTCAGCCCTCCCAGCCTGAGGCTCTCCCAGAGCGGAGGCCGGGGAAGCGCTTCCTTCTCCTGCAAAGCCCCCACCCCCCGCAGCCGCGCCCCGGGCCTCGTGGCCGAGCGGGCCCTCTCCTGCCGCGGCCTGAGAATGGGCGCCCAGCCCCGTCGGCGGCGCCGGATGCAGCCAAGGCGGGGACCGGGGCAAAAGGCCCTACTAACCGGCGCGGAGAGGCGGGGCGGCAGCTGCCGGCGTCGGGGCAGCCGCGGGCCTTGGCGGAGCCGTGCCAACGGGCAGCTGCCTTTGCGAAGCTCTCTCCAGCCCGCTCAGCCTCCCCGCACTCGCTTTTATAATCTCACGCGTAATTGGCCTTAATCTGATTATTGCCGGCGCTGCGAGGAGTGAGGAACTTGGATAGGTCTAGTGGGCCTTCCCAATGACCCACGTGGTGCGTGGCGGGGGGGGCACCGACGTCATTTCTCAGTCAGCACCCCGAGCACCAGCCGTGGGAGGGAGGGAGGGAGGGAGGGGGGAGGGGAGGCCAACTCTGCCGCCCCACGCCAGCCCAGGCCTCTTCGACGCGCACGAGGCTCCAGGGCCCGCGGGTCCCTCCCGGCCCGCCCCCACCCCTTTCCTGGCGGGGGTCGGCCTTGGCACTTGTGCTTGGCTGGCGCGCTCCTTCCCGGGAGCGCTAATGGGCCATTCGGTGGGCTTTCCAGGAGCCGCCTCGCCTTTCCGCGGCGAGGTTTGATTTTGTTCGCAGCGAGGGGTCTCCGGATTGAAGCTCGCTTCCCGTCTGCAAATGAGAGGCGGTGGGACCCTCCGCAATTACTTTTAAAACGCATTGGAGACTCGGCGGCGAGAGAGATGGCTCAACCCCGAAGCCCGGGTGAAAATGAGGCTCGGAAGCCTCCAGCTGAACATGTGAATTCGGGGGGCGCCGGATTGGATGAGAAGACATCAAACGGAGGAGTGGGGGAAGGGGATGGGGGGGCATAATAGGCTCCATAATAGCGGCACACCAAGATAACGGCTGCTGTTGCCCCCCCTCCCCCCGCCGCCCTATTAAGAGCTTCCCTGGCGCAAAGCCTTTACGACGTGAAAGGGGGATCTAATGATATTTGGGTTATTAAATGCATGTAATTAATTTATGCACCACTGAAAATAAAGTTGGTTTTTTGACCCCCTCAAGATGCATTAGACGATGCAAGTCAAACAACTGTTGATAAATGTATCTGACCAGCCTCTTTGATTGGGAACAATCCCCTTTCGGAAAAGTTGGAAAGGCGAGACGTGCCCCCCAAAACGAGCTTTCTGGAACAGAGAATCTAAAGCCCAGTTTGTAGCCCGGGACGAGAGGAGGAAGGAGAGGGGCGTCGGAAAGCCCAGATTTAACACTCGGGAGGCTGAGGAAATGAAGGAGCAGCTTTTCCTTCAACTATCTTAATCCGAATCCCCGGATTAGACGTGAAATCCCCCCCCCCATTTTGCCAGAACTGCTCCTGGATGCCGGTTTCTGTCCTCGCAGCTTCCCGCAAAAGCTGAAGGAGAAAGACGGTTTTGCTCTTGACTGGCAGCCCGACAAACAGCAGGTGGTTTAGGCTCGACCTGGCTCCTCTGGATCGCCACCGCCAGAACTGGGGAGGGGCGGTCAGAACGGATCCCGTTTAGCTCAGCAAAGCCTGGGGCGGTGGAGGCCGCGGGGATCCTTTTCCTCGACGCCTCCCTGGACGGGCGCCCTTGCCGGGGAGAGAAGCTTCTCGGGCGGAGGCAGGTGGATGCTATCACTTCCTCGGGGCGGGCTCCCGTCAAGAGGGAGGCGAGGAAGGGCCTCCTGGCCCGCTTCTCCGGCTCACTTCTGCCCTTCGCGGTTCGCAGCTCGGAGACGCCGCAAATTGAGCGGCTTCCGCGCGGGGCTCCGCTGGCCTCCTCCGGACAGAGGCCTGGCTAGGGCTCCGTTCCGGCCGGCGATGATCCACCCGGGCTCGGGCGGGACGTTCAGGCCAGGGAGGGCCATCGGCTCCCGGCGGGGGACCTTCGGAGAAGCTCCTCCGAGCTGGTCGCTAACTGCGGAGCGGCGGGAGCCTCTCCGGATTCAGCACCAAGGACAGAGGCCGCGGAGGCTTCCCGGCAGGCGGAATTGAGGCTTCGCCGCGAAGGGGCCGCCCGACGCCCGGCGCTTTCCCGCCTCTGGAGAGCCGACCCAGGGCTCGGCTTGGGCTCCCGGCCCTTCCCACGGCGCCTTTGGGATCCTTCCCGGCCCAAGGAGTTGGGGGACGAACTGCGCTGGACGCGGCACTGCTAAAGCGCCTTTCGGGCGGCCCCGCCGCGTCTGCTAAACTGTTGCAATCCGGGCGAGCGGGGGCTCCTCCAACCAGCCCCGGTCTCCGTGCAGGCCGCTTGGCCCAGGATCAGGGCAGCTCCCAGTCCGGTCCCTGACCCCTGCTCTTGGGGGCGAGAAAACGCGCGGCATCCGTTGGGGCGCAGCTACCTTGATGGGGAGAAGGCAGGGCGCGCGTGGGGAGGGGGAAATGGGCAAATGGACCCCTTGCCTCGGGCGCTACAAAGGGGCCCCTCCGAAGCCTTCGGCTCCGGGAGCGCCGTTGCGGCGGGCGGGCGGGCGGGCGGGCGGGGGGCGCTCTGGTCCCAGAAGTCGCAAGCTAAGCCGCCCCCTTCCCCGAGCTCCAAGGTCCCGTTCCGAGACCGGCCGGTTCTCCTGCTGGTGACTCGGTCTCCAGCCGATCGAGTCCGGCGCGGCGGCGGAGACGCGGATTGTTTACGATGGCTATTATTTAGGGCTTTTATTGCGGCTTTTATTTTCCTATTATTTAGCAGCGTCGTTGACCGCCAGAACTAGTAACAAAGCGTTTGTATTTTATCCTGATCCCTGCGCAGTAAAATATACTTTCCAATTAGTCAAATTTGCAGATTTGCCCCGCTTGGACTCGCTTATAATTTATAAGAGAAAGATGTTCGTTCTTTCTTTCTTTCTTTCTCTAAAGACCAAGGTGACTGTTCTTCATTTTCTCTAACCTTTTCTACACTTGATGTTCACCAGACTCATAATGTTAATTGGCTTCATGTACGGATCATCAGTTTAATGAAGGAATCAATCCTATCTTTTATTCTTTATGACCCTCTGCCTGAACAGCCCGGGCTTTAATGACGAATGGAACAAGTCCCCAAATTAAAGGCGCCAAAGGCCTCTTGGAGGGCTCCGGGGCGGCGGTGGGAAGGAAGGGGAAGAAGCAGGACCCCAGCAGCCCAGCTCCCAACACAGCCGAGCCAGGGCGGCGGCGGCGGCGGCGGCGGCGGCGCTTCCTGGGTGCCCTGGATGGCGGTTGGAGAGGGGCAGAGGGGCTGCGTGGCGCTTCCTCCCGTCTTCCTCCCTCTCTCCCTCCCTCCCTCCTGCTCCACCGCCCTTGCCCGCCCTGGAAAGAGCCGTTGGGCCTTGAGCCAGTAGGCCAGCGGGGATGAAGAAATCCGGCCCTGGATGGTAAAGGGAAGAAGAAGAGGGGAAAGAGAAAATGGGAGGAGGAGGAAAAGGAAGAGGAAGAGGAAGAGGAAGAGGAGGAGGAAGCACCAGCCCACAACATTCCTTGGTTTCAGGTTAAAGCAGGGAGGATGACTTTCTTTTTTATCTCAGATTAACAGATTGGAAGGGACCTTATATGTCATCTAGCCCAAGCAGGAGACCCTACACCATTTCTGACAAATGGCAGTCCAATCTCTTCTTGAAAGTCTCAAGTGATGAAGCTCCCACCACTTCCGAAGGCAACTTCTGTTCCATTGGTTGATTGTTCTCAGTGTCAGAAAGTTCCTCCTCATTTCTAGGTTGAATCTCTCCTTGGTCAGTTTCCATCCATTATTCCTTGTCTGGCCTTCAGGTGCTTTGGAAAACAGCTTGACCCCCTCCTCTCTGTGGCAGCCCCTCAAGTATTGGAAGATGGATATCATGTCTCCCTTGGTCCTTCTTTCCACTAGACTACCCATACCCAGTTCATGTAACCATTCTTCATATGTTTTAGTCTCCAGTCCCCTAATCATCCTGGTTGCTCTCCTCTGCACTTTTTCTAGAGTCAACATCTTTTTTATAGTGTAGTAACCAAAACTGGATGCAGTACTCTAGATGTGGTCTTACTAAAGCTTTATAGAGTGGTATTAGTACCTCACTTGATCTTGATTGTATCCCTCTGTTAATGCAATTTAGGATTGCATTGGCTTTTTTGGCTGCCGCTGCACACTGCTGGCTCATATTTAGCTGGTTGTCCACTAAGACTCCAAGATTCCTCTCACAGTCACTGCTATTAAGCCTGGTTTTCCCCAATTTCTATGTGTGCTTTTGGTTTTTCTTACCTAAGTGTAAGACTTTACTTTTCTCTACATTGAATTCCATTTTGTTAGATAGGCCCCAGTGTTCAAGTCTGTCAAGATCCATCTGGATCTTGAGCCTATCTTCTAGGATGTTAGCTATTCCTGCCAGTTTAGTATCATCTGCAAATTTAGTGAGTTCCCCTTCTATTCTACTCCCCATCTCAGCCAACAGATGCTGAAACATGAGACAATAACCCAATAACCTAAGGCATTGCCATAATAGAATGAATAAAAATGCACTTAGTTAGTATCTCAGCTTCCACTAAATTTCAGAGCAAGAGCAATCTTGATTGTGGCCTACCTTGTAGGCTCTCCTGGGAGGACAGTGACCAAACAATGTTCCCAGTTGCGAACAAAACACGTTTATT